TTTCGGAACCATCCTATATAATTCAGGTTTTTGTCGAATGATCAAGTTCCCCAACAATTTCCACGGAATATACCAATCATTTGATGAATATGAATAAAATGACGAATGCAGTAAACTTGAATCAATGATAATATAGTATACTACAAAATGTGCTGAATTGAATTAATTTCCCCCCTTCACTTTTTTGGAGATATTTGGAACATTTGCTGTTTTAAGACCAACCAACTGAGTATGTGCAGGTATATATCATCTATGGTTGATTTCCACCAGCTACATGAACAAACAAAACGTAGTCCATTTGGTTTCGTTATTCGAAAAGGAAACTTCACAATGTCCATTCAGAATATTGAAAAAGTCAACTTCACCACCCTGTATAATCCAACCTATTTGCTATAGAGCGTTGGATATTGGGACGTCTGATAAGCATCACGAACTCAGTATAGGTGTCAGACGGCTCTGGCTTACTCAGTACAAAAAAAACAACGAAAAATTGCTGAGAGCACACTCCGAATCTTGTCGTCGTGTAAATGTTCGTAAGCGTTGAAAAGGAAGAAATCTTGAACAATTTGTGTGGGATATCTTTTGATATTTTCAGTGTTGATTTATGCTTTGAAAAACTGACATCGAGATTTTGTCGAAACCATGAGGGTAACTAATACAATCTTATCACGAGTGCCTTTTTTTAGTAAACAAGTTACGCAATCTAGTTTCAGATTTTTTTCTTACTGAAAAAATCAAGTTCTACACGCCCATGAAATGATATCCAAATATGAGATGAATCTCATTAGCCGTCTCAAGGTTATGAAGCAAAAACGATTTGCAAATGGTAAATTCAGAGCAGCTTAACGTTCAAACTGAGCAACTTTTTCCGTAAATTACTAAACAGCCACTAAATTCGCAAATTTTTCAAATCAAATCACAGAATTAAAATGACTCATATTTGATTACTTCAAAGAATGATAATGATGCCAGCAACGCAAGTGTCATTCCTGTTGAAAACTTCAGATTTCAAGTCGATAATTTCCTGATTTCAATATAATGTGATATCTTGTCAATATTGATTCGTCCTTCTACCTGTCACAAAAAAAAATGTGTATCAATCACGGAAAAAATATCAGTTTCAGCTCACGGTTTTTGTCTTCCTGTGCTACGCTACTACAACCTGGAGCTAGAATCTACAACTTTTTCCCCCATAATGAATAACTATTGTTCCATTCCCATGATCAGTAGCTTCAAGATGAGCGATTTTTTCCTCGCGAATAAAATTTTGAATGAATTTCCACCACCAAAAATTCCAAAATGTTGCTCCACCGAAATTTCAACTGTTCGTTCTTTCATCGAATATCTCCACGATACATTTTTTATATCCAAAGACACGGCAGTGCTTCATACCAAGTATATGTATACTCTTATTATTTGAAAGAGACATAGTAACAAAAAAAAAAGATGGTGTCTTGCATCAAGCACCCGAATGATACAAACTTTCCGGAGAGGTAGCACGGCGAAATTTTAAAAACTGAGGAATAATATTTTGTAGTTTGCTAGAATGAAAAGTAGTAAATAAATAGTAGCTCGAAAAACTGATGAAATCAAGCCTCAGAAGAAACTTAAATGGAGTGTAAGATGATACTTATTTACTATACAAGGCAAAAAAGTAGTAGATTCTAGCTCCAGGTTGTGGTGACTCCCGATGCGTAGCGGAGGGAGACTAAAAACCGTAAGCTACAATCTTGTTTTTTTCGTGTGTTATACAATAATTTTTTCTGTCACAGAAACAAGGACGAATCAATATTGAGAAGATATTACATTATATCAAAATCAGAGAACGATCCACATGAAATTCGAAGTTTTCAACAGGAATGATACCTGGGTTGCTGGCATCTTTATCATTTGTTCGAACTAATCAAATCTGTCAGTCTAATTCTGTGATTTGATTTAAAGAAATTGCGAACTTAGTGGTTGTTCAGTGATTCACTAATCGCGCGAATTTGAATGGAAGATAAAAGACTTGCAGTTCGTTTTTGGAGACGGTGTTTGGCTTATTTTACGGAACTATAGCACAACAGAAGCCATCATCAGTGTATATATCTTTGATATATATCCAGGAAATAATTACTAACTTCTTCACGTGGGAAAATATCAATTCAAGTAACAAGTCCGGAAAATACTGTTTTTTTGGACGAGTAGACAAAATTCTAGGCCGAGCCGTAGGCGAGTCCTGGAAGTCTGTGAGTCCAAAAAAACTGTGTTTGAACGCGTGTTGCGTACACTATTTTTTCTGCAACCATGTAGGATAAAAATACAATGAGACACATTTCCATAATATATTTGTTGAATACAACTTCTCCTTTATTGATTATTATTTGCATTAAATATTGAAATTTTAGCAGCATACCTATACCTACTAACTGTTACATTGGGAATTCCGAATTTACATTCTCAAACTCACTATCGCAGCAGCTTTTGATAGTTCATTGCGATAATTACAACCGAACTTTCGAAAATCAAAATGTCAACTAATTTCATGTAATAGCTGTTAGCCGATATTTTGCTACTATGGTAATCATCATCTGCATTATTCATCAAAACCATATCTACCAAGATTTCCATAGTTACAGTGACAGCAACGTTGTGATACTTCCCGGCATAGTCCGGGAAGTACGTACTTCCCGGACTAGGCCGGAAAAATGCTACTTTCTCAAAGTTGCCGGAAAAAGTAATCTATGAAGAGTGACATTTTCTATCCTGTCAATAGAGGTGAAATTTCAAACTTTTTTTTTGTCACAGAAAAGAATAATAATTATTTTTATACAGGGTATATAGATTACGTGAAGAAACGTGTGCCTGCTCAAGTCTTTTCATAACTCAACGTTTTCTATTTGTTCGAATTTTCTACATAAGTAATTTCGAATATTTTCGATGAAACAGCCCACAGTTTTTAGAGACATTCGGCAAAATTTGTGGAATTTAAACTTCGACATTTTCGAGCATCTGTGACGATTGATATCTGAAGCGCTCGAGTATTTCTTTGTGACTGTTTCTGTTTTACATATTCATGAAAACAAACACGCCACCGCACCAGTGAAAGGGCATAAACCATATCACCTTCTTTCCTTTTTGGCATATTATCTTCACGACGCTCGAGTAACTCCCTAATTAGCCTCTTTGCCTTCCCTACTATAAGTAATGCTCATCTATTAGAAAGAGCTGTTATTGCTTAGAATTTCACATTCCATTGGTGATGAGATTTTGTGAAATAATAACATAATGTAGTCATTGTCATATTGTCATCGGAAATATAATAACTGATGATATAGAAAATATCTTATTGATTTTTCGAATACAGTAACACAGAAGCAATTTTGTGTCATAGCCGTGAAAAATAGTACATTGTTCAACGAGCACATAATGAAAGTCGTTTCCCACGAGATGAGATTTTGTGTAATAATAACACAATGTAGTCATTGTGATCTCTGATATGGAAATACAGTAATTGATGACATACAAAGTACCTCAATGATCTTTCGAACACAGTTAAACAGGAGCAATTTCGTGTTATGGCCGTAGAAAATAGTACATTGTTTAACAAACACGGAATGGAAGTCATTTCCCTACGGCCCATGCTGCGAACTTCATTCTCATGGAAAATGACTATCACTCTTTGCTCGTTAAATGATAGACTATTTTCTACAGCTAAATAACACAAAATGGCGCTTGTTTAACGGCTTTCACTAAATCAATATGAGATCTTCAATTTCATTCCGGTAACTGATAATACAATAACTCCATTGTGTTATTATTCCACAATAGATATTATCTACCATTGTATGGCAAATTTCAAGCTCTGTCTCATAGAACATTACTCAAGAGGAAATCAGATGGCTACAAGCCAAAAAGAAATCTAAAAGTTTGCTATTATCTGTCATAGCACATCAGGATAGTGATTTTGGCACAGTTTCCGTCAGATGAAATACAGGGTGTTAACAAATAAGTGTGACGACGGGAAACTGTAGATTCCTCATAATAAAAGGATTATTTCTGTCATTTTCAGAATTTTTCTCCAGGCTTCCTTATTCAAGATACAAGGCGTCAAAAAATCAAAAATGTTCAGTTCAATCAAACACACTTTACAACACTTAATGAACTTTACAATTGAAAAACCAGCATCGAGACCAGCATACTCAGGAACCTGACATTTGATTGAACATATACATATTATCAGAGGCATAGATTAACGACTTAGACATAGATTAACGACTTAGACATAGATTAACGAGTCGTTAATCTATGTCAGAGGTGTTTATTTCTATTGGATTTTTAGACAATTTTTAGAGATACCATCAGGATTTTATATGTTCTTATTCATAAAGAACCATTTTTTTGCGGAAACTGTTCACTTAAGAGCAGTGAGACAAGAGGACAAGGCATTGAATTTTCCTCCACTGACATGTCCATGGAAATTGGAAATCATCATTTATAATGGAGTGTATACGAAGGCTTAACTCCATAGCTCAAACGGTTCCTGAGATAGTAGCAAAAAACAATTTTTTTTTGTATTTTCTTGACGCCCTATATCTTGAAAACGGAAGCCCGAAAAAAAATTTCGATAGGGAAAAAATGTTATTTTTTCATACAGTTTCCCGTTGTGACACTCATTTGTTAACACCCTGTACAATGTTTTCACATGCCTCTGGGAAATTATATGGAATTGCGTTATAGTTGAAATTTGCAGCCTATGATATCAGATGACCCTTTTCCCTTAAAATATTTCTGAAATTCTTCAATTCTCAGCGAATGTGGGAATCCCAGACCGCTGTTCTTCTATACAATGCTACTTATGAAAATACGCCTCTATTCACTCATGAAGACAGTACAATTCGTGATTTCATGAGCTCACGGTATAACATTTTCTTATTCTCTATTTTTTTTTCCAGGAATTGGTCCGATATACTGCTTGTCTAGGAGAAAACGACACCGACCTTCGCAAAGCCCTTGATTTGATGCTAAGCGTGCCCCACAGGGCGCAAGACGATAAATTTGTGTCTAGCATCGAAGGCTACAAGGTAGGAGGCTTACCTACATGACGGTTTTTTCATGAAAGACATTTCTAACTGTCTATTTGGAAATATCTTCATATTTTCTCGACTTCTCACCCCAACTTATTTCATTATTACAATACCAACGATATCTATTTTTCTCAGAATAGTAGCAACGACATATAGTTATTTAATATACAAGGAAAAAGTAGTAGATTTTAGCTCCAGGTTGTGTTGTCTTCCGACGCGTAGCGGAGTGAGACAAAAAAGCGTGAGCTAAAATCCAATATTTTCCCTGTGTATAATACACTATTTTTTTCTGTGACAGAAAGAAGGACGAATCAATATTGGAAAGATATTACATTATTTTGAAATCAGAGAATTATCGCCGTGAAATTTTGAGTTTTTAACAGTAGGAACACCTGCGTTGTAAGCATCTTTATAATTCTTTTGAAGTAATCAAATATCTTCTGTCAGTCTAATTCTGTGATTTGATTTCAAAAAATTGCGAATTTAGTGGTTGTTTAGTAATATACGTAACCACGAAGTCGAATGGAAGATAAAAGGACTTGCAGTTCTTTCTCGGAGAAGGTATTATTGACTCATTTTTCGGAACTAGCACAACAAAAGCCATCAACAGTATATATATAACAGGGTGATTCAATGAAATGGGAAAGTGAGATAACACCTTTGATGTTTGAGATAGATGAACAAAAATTGTTGTGATGATCTAGGCTCATGAGCAGCACATTTCCAAAATATTTCGCTTCATACAGGGTGACTCAAAAATGCGTGACGTATCATAGTTATACTTTTCTTAATGAGACACCCTGTATTTCACTGCATTTTCGTATTCTCCTTTGTGAGCTGATTCCATCAATGCTTTACACTTGGGTCTAGCGAGAATGATTACAGAGATATAGGGTGTGCAAAATCGAGATATTTCGACTTTAGGATTTTTTTGGGCCGAAACTATTCATTATTGGTCAGAACGGCATACATGTCCCTATCTTAACTTTTGATTTACTATCTACTGATATTCAATTTGAACGATTACAGGATGGTTCATAATTCTGAATTTTGAACTACCCTGTATTCGTTCAAATTAAATATCAGTAGATAGTAAATCAAAAGTTAAGATAGGGACATGTATGCCGTTTTGACCAATAATGAATAGTTTCGGCCCAAAAAAATCCTAAAGTTGAAATATCTCGATTTTGCACACCCTATATCTCTGTAATCATTCTCGGTAGACCCAAGTGTGAAGCATTGATGGAATCAGCTCACAAAGGAGAATACGAAAATGCAATGAAATACAGGGTGTCCCATTAAAAAAAGTATAACTTTGATACGTCACGCATTTTTGAGTCACCCTGTATAAAGTGAAATATTTTGGAAATGTGCTGCTCGTGAGCCTACATCATCACAACAATTCTTGTTCATCTATCTCGAACATCAAAGGTGTTATCTCACTTTCCCATTTCAATGAATCACCCTGTATATATATATATATATATATATATATGTGATTCATATCCGGAAAAAAAGCACTCACTTTTTTCTCATGGAAACAAAGTAATTTATGAAAAGTGACATGTCATAACCTGCCAACAGAGATGAAATGCCAAACTTTTTTCCCGTCACAGAAAAAAATATTTTTTTTCAATTGATTCGAAACGGTCGCTACTTGATGGAAATCCATAGCAAATGTGAAAACTTCATTGTTTATTGTACCAGTATTTCACCTGATGATGCTACTGTGTTAGCAAAATATGTAGTGTGATTAAGAATTGTGTGGAAATCTCATCTCAGGGAAGTTTTCACATTTACATATAGGTATAGTTATTTGTATTATTCGTTCCGGTTAAAAAGTACCAGACGTGTCGTTAATCCGTAATAATAAACCAAGCAGCTAAGAATACAGGGTATGTCACGACAAGCTCACACTCACTTTATATCGAGAATAAGTCAAGAGAAATCCATGTAAATTTGCATGTTTATATTTCAGAATACGCTCTCTTCATTTAAAACATTTTCGACAATGCAGTGTTGCCGCTTCTACTAGAAAGTAGTAGCAACATTGATATTTCAAATGGAACACTCTGTATTTTATGGCATTTTTAGATTTTTCATGACGAGCTGATTTCATCGATGTATCACACTCGAGGTCTATCAAAAATGATTACAGAAATATGAGGTGGTCAAAATCGAGATTTTTTACCTTCAGGATGTTTTTGTGTCTAAACTATCCATTATTGGTCGCAACGGCTCACAGGTCCCTATCTCAACTTTCGATTCACTATTCACTGATATTCAATGCGTCAAACTGCAAGTTCACAATAGCTATTACTAATAATCAGTAGATTGAGAATATATTTCTCTCAGTTGTTTCTGTATGAAAGAATGATTAATTGAACAAATCAATCAATTTCCAACGCTTGTAGGAAAAATATTGTTCCTAGCTCATGCGGAAAGTGTCTTTCCCGCACTCGACTGCTTGCCCGAACTCCGCTTCACGTCGTTCGTGTCAACGGCAGTCGCGTGCAGGGTCTGTCATTGTGCACGCGACCTATGTATGATATTTGTAGTAAAGGCAAATGTCTACTATCCAAATTCACTGTCAACTGTCTAGAAAGACACATGAATGTGGTTCCATAAAAAAAGAACTAATTTTGAGCCTTATTCTACGCTTTTTCAATAAGGGCAACGTGCACAAGTTGGGCCGGCTTCTTGCCCACGACCGGTTCACCGTCACCTTCGAAGACGTCAGCAAGGAGCGGTACCTGTTCCTCTTCAAGGCGCGGATCCTGATCTGCAAGGTGCGGAGGATATCCGAGGACAGGTCGATCTTTCAGCTCAAGGATACCGTGAGGGTGAGTTGATACTAATAATAATTCCACTTGGACTTGAGATTTTATATTTATTAAACACGTTCTCAGGCCACGAGGCTCTTCATCATACATGGAAGAAATATTATTAAAAAAGTTTCATAAGACAGTAATTTGTCGCACGTGTTGTTTGGAGTACGACGAGCGTGCAGCTACGTAATAGATATTTACGATACGAGTATCGTGGGAACTCATATTACGATATGAGATGGAAAATTTGTCAAACAAGGCCGAAGGCCGAGTTTGATAACCCATCGAGGGTTTTAATGCATCATTTGTAGATAGTGTTCATGCAATAAACAGTGGAATCTTGTTCGCTACGAAATGATAATAACTCAACATGACTTCATACTTCCTATTGCCCCAGGTACTGATTGATTCACTGCTATCTATCATTCCAAAGATCATGGAGGAAGCTATCGAAATCGAGCTCATGAAATACCTGGAACATTCAGGTATCATCAACGATAGGCAATATGGCTTTCGTCATCAGAGATCAACTGGTGACCTGCTTGCTTACGTCTCACATATATGGCAGCAATCTATTGAAAAATATGGTGAAACCTTAGCCGTGGCACTTGACATCTCAGAGGCACTCGATCGAGTCTGGCACCACGGACTCCTCGCTAAGCTTTTATTTCATAGCTTGCCTCCTCAGCTATGTTCTCAGCTAGCTAGTTGCCTTTCAAATAAGTCTCTCTATGTAGTGGTCGATGGAGTTTCATCTGCCTCTCTTATCATAAATGCTGGTGTTCCACAAGTATCAATTCTAGCACCAACAATATTTCTACTCCATATCAACGATTTGTTGAGAGCAACCATACCTTTGGAGACATCCATTTCGATGCTTGGTATTACTATCAGCAATAACCTCTCTTGGGAAAATCACGTGAGATCAATAATTGCTGAAAGTGCATCTCAAAAACTTGGTTCTCTGTTTTGGGCCAGGAGCTACCTCCTTTCCAGTCAGCTGTTCATGATCTATAAGGCACAGATCCGACCTGTCCTGGGATACTGTTTCCATATTTGGAGTGCAGCACCCAAACATACCCTGAAACTGTTGAATTCTGTCCAAAAAAGAGCAATTCGTCTCGTGGGTGATGCCTTGCTCACGAACTCACTCACTTCTTTGGAAAACTGTAGGAAAGTTGGCGATCTGGCTTCATTTTATTGATATTTTCATGGCCGATGCTCTTCTGGAATATCAACAATTGTTCCTCCCTTGGCAGTCCCCGAGAGATTAACCCGTCGAGTTGAGGCTTCGCACCCCTTCGTGGTCACTTTGGAGACCTGCAGAATATCTCTTGCCAAGACTCCAACGAACAGCGAGGCTCTGGAACACATTGCAAAGGGAGGTATACCCCGAAGCATATAACCTTCAGAAATTCAAGAAGAACACTGAGTCCCACCTTATTTCCCTTGGTTCTCACGATGTTCTCTGAACATCACAGGATATCTCCTTCCGTGGGAACTAGAACATAAAAAAAATACTAACATTGATAATTCCCGGTTTATTCATGATTGAAATACCATCGTCAAGTGACTATGGAATCTTCAGTATTAGGATAGGGTCTTATATCGCATTTTGACTGGAAGAATCATTCATCGAAACGATATATCAGTATCTCATGATGAATTCAATCCTAATAACATCAAAACTCCTTCATCCATAGAACGGCTAGGCTCTGGAATTCATTGCCTGAGGAAGTATCCCCAACAACATATTAACTCCAGAAGTTCAAAAAAAATCACAATACCTACCTCCTGTCCCTATCCTCCCTAGGAACGCACGATGTTCTTCAAACATTATAGGGATTTCCTTTTGTGCGCTCCAAGCGATAAAAATAAATACAATAATAAAAAAATCTGCTGTTGATATTCTCTTCTCGTTTGAATTTGAATAAACGACTGAGGTGTAGTACTGTCAAACAAATTTCATTCACAGGGCTATGGATTAACTACTAATATGATCTAAGAGGGTCCCCAATTTGACTACTGTTCAACCTACACTCCATATTCTGATTGCTCCAACTGCTAATCCCAGCTATGGCAGCTATCAGCTATGAATCATTTGATTGATATCTCTTACATATCACCTTGAATCTTCAGCCACCACTGGTGGCATTGACGTGAATATTCCTAAATACCTTTCTAATTTTCAGTTGACACAAATTCAGGTCAAGGACCATCCAGAAGAGACCTACACTTTCGAATTGGTCGATAAGGTCGGGAAACAATCTCTGATTTTGAAACTTCACAGAAACGTCAAGGACTTTTGGCTGAAAGAAATAAGAGAATTTGCCAAAGATCACAGTGAGTATATGCAACATATTCTGTGTGCAATCTACTCAAAAGTCGTCCATTTTTGTTCCAAAATTACCTCTTCAAGTTGACGTTTCTCTTGCTGACACAACAAAATGATTAGTGTGTATGTTGCTAGGCAACACGTTCATTGTCTAGGAGCTGAAGTTGAAGTTTAACTCCTTGGAACTTGAAAAGTTTCGCATGACAGCTGATATGTTAGCTGCTTTTGACACAGACATGCTGAAGTGACTCGAAATAGTGGTTTATTCACTTATATTGGAATTATTAGACATCAGTTATTTCGATTGCAACAAAATAGCATGTTTTATTCGGATCAAAAGTGACTCTGTTTGACTCGCAAAATTAGTGTGCTCGGCTTCGTAGTCGCTTCGCTTCGCAAACGCAAATATTGCTTCTCAAACAAACTGTCCTATTTCATCCTGATAAAACAATGAACTATTTTCTTATAGTTCAAGTTGATTACCTTAAAACAGATGAGTAATATGAAGCGATGTTCAATTATATAGAAAAAATACATTCTCCACAATACCACTAACTTGAAAAGGTTCAGGTATATTTTGGCCACTCACCTGAACTCTCTAAGTTTGACATCTATTCCAGGTGAAGTTGAAGATGCTAGTACCGAAGAATTCCAGAAAGAATCGTTTTCACTAGACCGCACCGAAGAAAAGCCAAACGATCCAGAGAAGAAACAAGACTTCGCTCCAGAGAAACGTCCGCAAGCTCCAGAAAAATTGTCGCAATTAGTTAAAGTTCCTCAACCAATAGAACCTTCAGTACCAAAAAAGGAACACTCCGAAGCAAGTCATCCTCTTGAACCACCCAAAACTCCTGGCAAGTCATTAGAGCAAACAAAGCTCGTACAAGAATTGAAATTGGTACTGAAAGAACAATCTAGTTCTTCAGAAAGCACCCTAGTTGCAGAAGCTGCGCCCACAGTCGATTTCACAACCACCACAACTACCGACTTACCTCCTTCAGAAAGCGAGACTTTGAAACAAGTGCAAACCCCTGAATCAGAAGGAACAGTTGAAGACCACCACCTGAGGAAGATAGAAGCAGTTGAGCCTCTAGTCCAGATCAACAAACCACGTGTTCTAGAAGAAGTTATTCCCTATATCATCAAACCTCCGCCTGAGCTAGTGCCTGGCACTGCTATCGATAAATTATTCAGTGTTGAGAAGCAGGGGGTCAGTGACATTGTTTTGACTGATTTCAAGGTTGGTATCGAAGTTAATGTGGAAATTGGAGACGAAATGAGTCGGAGATATGCTTCTAGTCGGTCAGGTTAGTTTTTTTGTAAACAGTTCGATGCTAATAATAAAGATTCCATCCTAACTGTTTGTTGTGTTTTTTTGCTAACTCTTATGGTTGTGCATGTGCCTGATGTATCTAATACTACAAAGTATCGAAATCGTAGCACATAATATATGTTCGTCAAGTACACAACACCACTAAATCTCTAGTATATTCTTTTTGCTTAAGATTGCCTATCGGTTATGAAGGCAGCAAGGATTTCCGTTTGCTGTTCATATTCCTCACATATTCAACCCAGCAAAGGGCGGATTCAGGCAGACGGTCATGGGGTTCATGACCCCCCCTCCCCTGCGGGCCCAGGTGGACCGGTGATTTTTCAGTGGACTTTCTACTTAGGTCACCAAACAACTGTAATATAGATGGATGGTGACCACATTCTGATACGAACCATGTTGCACATGCGAATACAAGGCTGATATTAATAATACAAAGCCGCAATAAAATGCCTTCAGAATTATTTGAATTATTATGTAAGGTGTTCTCAGTCATTGCTAAAGAACCCATGTGGTGATCCCAGTGGTATTTTCATGAATAAAAGGTTTCAAAAATGTTTGTCAAGAAATGCTTTCTATAAATAGTACACCCTGAATACGTTTTCATCTGAATATTCCCAATAGCATTTATTCAACAATCATTTAAATAGGTACATCGTATGAACTTTCAAAGCTGATTCAGAATTTGAAGTCAGAATTTCAATATTTCATTCAGAAATGTAGGTACCATACTAGGGTAGAACAATAGAATTTTCCTTGGTTCTTTTGTCTAATTTCAGAATATGATGCCTGAAAGTTCGTCACGTAAAAACGGTACACCCAAGGTTGGTAGAACTGATTATAATTTGTATAGGAAGGTTGCCTCGATCGATAGTGCGGCAAGGGGGGAAACGGTCACTCGTGACGTCACAGGCAGTAAGACGACAAGTTGTCAACCTTAAAGCGACATGTCATGAAATGTTTACCAAATAGAGTATACAAACATGATACAAACTTTTTGGTCTGCTCAGCATGTTTATATTAATTTATAGTATATAATTATAAGTAAGTACCATTACAAAATATGGATATTTACATATACTCCTGTATAATACCTTCAATCTTCGAAATCAGAAGGCAATTTTGGATGGATCAGTAGTACAGAGAGGAATACCTATCTGAAATTTTGTTCCAGGGGCTATTTACAAGGTCGTGGTTCCAGGTATGTGTGTTTTGAGGTATGGAGCATAATTATGGAGCTAGTGATTACTTATGCATTGATTATGAACCTATACATCCTATAAATATCCTGCAAATAAGATAATGTGAACAAGAAACTACAGAAAATATAAGAATAATCAACTGATGATCCAGAAGTAGTAGCAGTGCACCAATATTCGTACACAACAGATCACTTATTTTAGCAATATAATTCTGTATTCTGAAAAATTAACAAACTTTCCTAGATACCTATAGAAAATACAAGAGGAAATAGTTTTTCATTCACTACACTGTTTTACCACTAACCAAACCGATTTTTTAACGCCTCGACACGTGTTTCGCTGACTATGTTAGCATCTTCAGGAGAAGATTAAAACTGATTGTTTGATTACATATTGTAGTCAACAGAGCAATTGATCGAAGTATTTGAGCATAAAAATAACAAAATATGATTCTGAACAGAATTAATGAAAAATAACACTACGATACTATTATAAGTGGACCTATAATAAAGGAGAGTTCAAGGAATCTCTCAAATGAACATAGCTCCTCTTCGTTGGGTAACGTACTCTTGCTCAAATATCTCAACTTCAACAACAACTGTCCATTTTACCCGTTCAGCAAGAATCTCAACATTCACAACTGGTCTGGTTCTGGTCATTTTTCCAAACTTCCATACTTATGGTGTTTCTCTTGTTGTATTTGGTATTATTGATGGGATTCCTACCTTGAATTTTCTTCTCTTTGGTGTGTGATTTAGCAATTCTGCTTGTGCCGTTCAAAATCCTCGGCATCGAAATGGGCAGAACATATTCGCCTAGTTTTGGTATTAAATGAATTAAAATTACGTCCACAAAATTGAATCCATTTCTCACGAATAGACTCATCTTATGGAAATTAATGAAAACACAAACTAAATTCACTAGTCTCATTACACTTGTACGAATTTTAACAAGAAGTGACCGAACAAACTATCATTTTTACATTTTTAATTTCAAAATGGTTCAAATATTCGAAAATACTGACAACTGTCAACTCAATACATGCGCCGGCCAATCGCCGGCGTACATATCATACACGAAGTGTACGAGAGTGCAAAATAAAGGGCCTATTACGTCATGAGTTACTCAAGGTTACTCGCGGGGTGCGATCGAGGCAACCTTCCTCTACAAAATAGTCATCAGTTCTACCAACCTTGGGTACACCTACTTCAAATCGCTAGAACAAGTTTTGAATAAATGGATTCGAGAATATCGAAGAGACATTGTTCGACGATTATTTAAAGGAAATTTCTTCATGAAAATACGCCAGGAATCACCCCACAGCGAATAGTTGATGAAAGATGCGAATCGATTTGGGTGCATAGATGATTGAACGGAAATACCAAGTTTCAACTCATTAGTGAAATCGTTAATGATTGTGAAACTATGGATCAATGAAAAAGCGGCGTACACAAATCCGCCTTAACTCTGTTCGATGTCGTACATAGGGACCTCAAACAGTTTCGATTTCAGTATATGGTGATTCGATCATGTGACCAGTGTAGAGATCTTAGGCAATTCAGAATCTTGCTTCGCTTGAATGGACTTCTGGTCACATGAACAGAGTTCGCCAATAAAACGACACAATTTGAGGTGGCGCTTGCAGCGCGCTACATGGTGGTGGGAATGGAAATAACTGGCCTGTCAGAACCGGCATACTAAGCTCAACCATTTCGAGTAGCGGGAATTTCGAATAATCCATATTATGTCGTATTCATATATTTCACTTAAGAGAAGTCCTAGTAAAAATAGCGAAGGAGATGTTATGTCATGAGCATTATATGCTTCCATCTCTACTCTTCCAACCTTTCACAGACACTGGAATAGAAATGATGGTCAGTAAGGATTAGTGCAATAGATTGAGATGAATCATTTTTTATTAAGGCCATGAAGACTGTAATGAAATGAGAGTAAACAATCATTACAGGATCTTCAATAACTTTATTCACTCTAGTTACCTGGTTAGTTTTTCTTATAATTTGGAGAACGTTGCCTAGAAGGTCCTAACACTGCACACTTGTCGAGTCCTGAACTTCACATTTCTTCGAATTAAAAGTCAAATATATTGGCATTCCCCGCGAGATCAACCCGTCGAGTTGAGGCTTCGCACACCTTCGTGGTCACTTTGGAGACCTGCCGAACATTTCTTTCCAAAGACTCGTTCATCCAACGGACAGCGGGGCTCTGGAACACATTGCCAAGGGAGGTGTTTCCTGAAGCATATAACCTCCATTTTAAGAAGAACCAATCCCTACCCATTTCCCTTGGTTCTCACGATTATTGGTGATAAATGGAAATATAGCACTTCGAGACGAGAAAATCACACTTCTGAACGGGAAAAACACAACAGAAAAGACATGTCAATCGACATTTGGCAAACAAAATGTGGACGCCATTTTGGAACCAATGTGCCTGCAACGCCTGCGCACTATCACAGATCACGGATCATTATGTCAGAAGGACATCTGTTGTTTGGTTGCTGAACTAATAATATTGTTCAAGGTCATCCTATCTACTTGGCGGTCTATAGAGTGTAGTTTGTTTGTGGCTTACTATTTATTCACAATGAACCGATGTATGGGTGAGCAATACAGCTACGCAGTTAAAGCCCACTATCAAAACGTTCCAAAACAGTTCGAACTCTTGAACATATCGAACGTGCTCGACAAGAGCATCCAAGAAGTCCTCGGTTATCCCAGGGTGTATTGTTCTTCTAAACAGGAATATTAGTTGGCCCCCTCGGTATCCCTACCTTACTGCCTTCGATTCATTATTGTGAGGATACTCAAAAATAGAGTTTGTTATTCGGGAAACAGTTGACATAATGATACACAGGGTGTTCCACGACGATTAGACAGGTTTTATCTCGGAACACTAGATAGTAGAAGAGAATTGTATTTTCGTAGTTGTGAAGTTAAACGATTCATTCGTGCAGCTTTTTCCGATATTTTTTTGATTCAACTAGCTTGTCATTTTCGGACACGTTATATCAGATTGACAATTTCAAATGGGATATCTTTTATATTTATCATGTCTCTATTATCCCGATGGAACGATTAAAACAAACTATCACACTTGTCGAATAATATCCTTTGTCGTAAATCATTCTGAAAACATTTCTCAATGAAATATGAATGATTATTGTTTGAATCATCTGGAAAATAGTGCTGCTCATATATACAGAGTGACCCAGTATTCGAATGATTTGGCAATTAATCGTTTCAGACGTTTGTCGTCATCGTCGTTGGACAAACGACATTGACGTTCTGTTGTCTTCGAATCGAACGTTTCAGTTCACAAATGTGATAGTTTGTTGAAATCTTTTCATCAAAAGGAAAATAGACATGGTGAATATAAAGGTTGTTCCATTTTCAACTTTCAATCTGATATCACGTGGTAGAAAATGGAAACGTCATTTGGGAAAGAAATATTCTGACAAAGCTGCATCAATTATTGTTCGAATAAACAACCCCAAAATTTCAATTTTTCAATCCTCTCGAGTTTATAGATATTCCTCGTCTCAATCATCATCGGACACCCTGTACATTATTGTATCACCTGTTTCTCGAATAACAAACTGTTATTGAATTATCGAATATTTCGAGTGACAGATTATTCACGATTCAATTATTTGCTGAATTAACAACTAAAAGATATTCGAAATACAAGTGTTAAAAGAAATTGCTATAATTCAAAAACCATTACAGCTCACAAAGATTTTCGAAAAACATGTAAGCACAATTGTACCTATCCTTCAACATGTTTGGCAATATTTCAGAATTTGTTGTTCAACTCAGAGATGTAGTTTATTTCAGTGTAAAAAACACCCATGCATAGTAGTAGTAGTATTATTGTGGGGAGGCTGTAGCCAGGCAAGTAGGCCCCCATGGGCCTTTTTCGACAACTCCTGCTCTCCACATATCTACACATTCCTCTTTTAGTTATCGTTCTCGAACCTTCCCGTCCATCTGATGAAGGTCAGGATGTCCGTCCACTCTAATTCGACCAAATCTTCCTGTTGTAGTTCATCTACTCCAAAGAATCTCTTTGAATCTCATCCTTCCATACGCCTCATACTCTCCGAGGAAGTGAAGTAATGTCTCCTCATCTTCTCCGCATTCACGGCAAGTGGGAATATCTCCTACACCCATGAGTGATAGGTGTCTTCGTAACCTGTTGTGCCCTGTCAGTACCCCTTTAAGAAGGCGCAGGACTTGGCGATCCCTGCCAAGTAACCAAGCCATCTTCGGCTTGCTTGGACCAGCCACCAGGTCTCTCGATTGCCTGCAGCCGCCGTCAATATCCTTCTAGTGCCTCGTCCGCCCATTTGTTAAGGGCAGACGAAGTTTGGCTGCTTTTTTTGTCCAGTGCAGGCTCCGGTCCCCAGAACGGTGTCGCGGATCCGATTCTAGCCAGCTCATCGGCCACCTCGTTCCCGGGCAACCTTCTGTGACCCGGAACCCACACTAGTTCGACTTCCTTCTCTTCAGCTAGTTTCTCAAGAGCATCGCCACATCCCTGCACCAAAGCTGAGCTTGGTTTAGGATGGCAAATAGCCCTGGAAGCCGCCTGACTATCCGAGCAGATGTAAATCTTCTGCTCTGGTCCCTCCTCCACCTCTTGCCTCTCTGCTACAGTCAGAATGGCAGATACCTCGGCCTGGAAAACTATGGTATACTTCACGAGAGCGTAGCTCTTCCTCATACCTATTCCTAGGTGAATTCCTGCACCTAAGTCCTGTTTGTCAGTTAGGCGCGATCCGTCCGTATAACATACTAGACTTCCTGGGCGGAATTCCACTCTGTTCTCTTTCCATTGTCCCCTACTTGGAATAGTGAGCCCATTTCGAGCGTTCTTTACTCTCAGGGTGGAGATAGGGATCTTCTGTTCCACCCATATCGCAATTTCCGCGTGACCTGTCGCTGCCCCTCCGTTAGCCCAACTCCTACCTATGCATAAATCACTCATCAAATCATATTTGGTAATGTTTCAAGAAAATGGTGCAATAATGTATGATTCCAACCAAAAATTTTTCATAAGTCGCTTGTAGCGATCAGAAATCATTCAGTATCAAATATTAATACAATCTTCTGTAAGTCGTTAGAATTTCCGATGAGTGTATTAGGCAACGATAAATTCAATATCGAATTCATATACATATCAGAATTGAAAGAAACCGATTTCAATAAATTGGCATCATATCTTTGTCTAATCTTGTATACGATATAAACTCTATATTGGGTAGAGCATATATCAAAACAAGAGTTAAATTCCACATAGCACCAAGATCCTAGAGTGTTCAAATTAATTCCTAGGCCCAATAATTTGGAATCAATGTTCCTTCAACATTCTCTCATTATTGGTTCAATATCCACCCAATGTCAGTGTTCTACCTGAAACATAAACTTCGTATCTCAGTGAAGCCCAACAATTGTTTGATGACTTTCTCTAGGAATCTAGGATAGCCTTCGAATGATTTCTTTCTGGTAGGTTTCAGTAGTGAAGTACCTCCTTTTTCCACGGACCCGATCTCATAGTACTGTGACTCTCATGTGATTCATCTAGCCAGATTTGTTGAACTTAAGAGCCTTATCTGATCTTGATTTGGAGCATTCTACCACCAGCACATTTTCCATATCGAAGACATAGCTCATAAGAGAGCAAGGAATATTTCAACAACGCCATGGGATCAAAAAGATTCAACCAGGAAAGAGTCAAAATATTCGAAGTGGAATGAAATGGTAACAAAGAGGAAGAAACGGTGGTCATGAGATCCATCTGGGCACACCCCTGCACTGATGAGAGAGCAACTGTATTCGTATATATACGAATCATTGCATACATCTTGGTAGCATGGAACTCAATGTTCCACGTGGCATGTAGACAGAAAGCAATTATCTTCTTCTGATTATCTGCCATTCTAGTTTTATCCATGAATCATTGTGGAAATGACTTTCAGTTTCTTCTTCCTTGTAGAAAAGATTACTCAATCGCTTTTTTATGCATTAACAGCAGCGCTACTAAAACCTCCGCTTGAGCAAACAGCTTCTCGATTCCTGATTCACACACGAAGACTATCTTGATTCACAGAAGGTGGACACGATTCGTCTGCTTATTCCCGATCTTCCTCCAGATATGCAACTGGAACTACCTCAAAGTACACCACCGAATCCTCACTAGCAGGATCAAAATACGACGACTTATCCTCCAAATACAGCAAGAGATCTTATGGCACCGAGGGTGCAGATTCATCAGCTCTGACATCGAGTTACACATCCAGAAGAGGCGTGTCTTCCGCTGATGATGACTTTAGCTACAGCAGGCAGTCGAGAGTGGGCTCTAGCGATGCAGATCTAGATACCTACAGTTACTCCAAGAGAATCAACAAACCTTCTGATGGAGAAGGTGAAGGATACAGCTGCTATTCCAAGAAGTCCTCGAGATCTATCACAAGAACTGAAGGAGTGGGAGATGGAGATGACTTCAGCTACACCAGACGTGGCATGAAATCTACCATAGAAGGAATGGGTGATAATGACCAGTTCACTGTCAGGAAATCGTTAAGGACCTCTGTTGAAGGTTCAGGCATAGAGCCTTCAGAAACCAACGATGCTTATTCCTACACATCCAAGAGAACTGGCTCAGAATTGGGTTCCAGGCATTCAATCAGATCGGTTTCCATAGAGGAACCCAAAGATGACTCCGACGACGTATTGTCGAGGATTTCCAGGAAATATTCTAGGAATAACTCGACCGAGCCTAAGGCTATAGGAGAAGAGGAGGAAGATAAGTATGCTAAGTATACGAGGAAATATTCGAGAACAGATTCTCACAAAGATGAAGATGAAAGTAGGTACTCTAGGAGATCTTTCAGAGGCAACTCTCGGGGTACAGATGATGAGGAAACTGTGCGCTCTGGAAGGATTTCTAGGGACAAGAGTTATGATGAAGAGGATGCATATGAGAAATATGCTAGGAAATATCTGAGGAAAGAATCGACGTCTACAGAAGGAAAAGATCAGTCGCTTGATGTCGAATCCAAACGGTATTTGAGGTCAGACTCTTCCAAATCTAGATCGAGGAATTCAGACGATGGTGAGTATTTTCCAATACATACCGATCATCATAAAAACAGAAGAGTGTACAAAAAAACGGCAAGTGTCTTCTGAATCATTCGAGATCGATTCAAATTTTGGTGGGTAGCAAATATATCAAATTGCTACTTCACCGACAGGAAAATATTTGTTTCATCACTTCCGGTTGGAGCAGAGGTAAGAAAATGAATATTTTTGCCAATAGAACGCAATTTCGTATACTTTTTACCCACTAAATTCCAAAACCCGGCCTCTAATGATTGAGAACTGTCCGATTTTTGTGCAGTTCTTTGTTACAGATAGGTAAAATTTTGAAATTCGTTGAGTAGCCAGTATACCAGACTGCCTTTGATTGGCAAAAAATATTAATTCTCTTACTTCTGATTCGACCAGAAGCTATCCCAACTTGTGATTCTCATATGAGATAACCTGCAAATCTTGATATCTCTAAAGATAAATAAGGGGTCCTATTTTGATATCAAAAGTTATAATCACTCCAGGTTCAACCAGAAGTGATTGAACTTGTATTTTCTGTAAAAAAATAAACAATTTGGTACATATACTTACTATTCACGAAATTTCAGAATCAGATGTCGATAGATTGAGAAAGTACAGCATAAAATCTATCCTTTCAATTTCAAAATTTCTGCGCTCTTGACATACATTTACTTATATAAAACAACGAGACTAGCCAATTATTCCACTTTTACGATGAATTTCGCTTTGGTAACTATCATAAGTTCCGAGACAGCGCATGGGATGACAAAATTTCAGGACTTCCTTCAGAAGTCGGACTATACATCAAGATCATCCTGTATCACATGTAGGCATTTTCAGAGTCATCACGGATTCAACTATCGAGAAGTTCAGAACAAATAGGTATGATTCAGCAAATCCAACTCTTTTGAAATACACATCAGTTACACTTGGAACCCTATCCAGTTTTTTGCATATTTGATTGTGTTCAACTGACTCATATAAATATACATTTGAATGTTTGCATTTGATTGATAATTCAGGGTTTGTTTGTTTTTGCATGACATTACAAGGAATAATACTATTTGTTTAACTCACAATCCAATATTTTCGAATGGAACAAAATATATTATCCACGAACAAGAAAAAAATTGATAACTGCCATCAACGAAGTAGGCTGTTTTCAACAAATGATACGTATACATGGTTGATTTAATTATGATTTTGGATGTTCCACGACGAATAAGAAATGAATATCGTGGAAGTCGAGAGTAGGAACAAATTGTAATTTTGTGAATTTAAGCAATTGGTGCAACTTTTTCGAATATTCTTCATTCGAGCACTTTGTTTCCGGCCACGTGACATCAGATTCAAAATTTCAAAATACCTCGACATTTCTATATCTTCTTTCCGATAGAAAGAATTCAACATACTGTCACATTCGTGGTCTAAAACGAATAATTCGAGAACCACAGGTACCTCAATATCGTTTGTCCCAAAAAGATTGCGACGAACGTATGAAACGTACATTTGCAAAATCAATTCAGTTAAGGGTCTCCCTGTATATTTGGGAAGATCTATATATTTATCGGGATGATTGAAACATTATTCATATTCAATCGAGAATAAATGTAGTCAAAAATATTTGGAACAAAAGTTATTTCATAGATGGAAACCAAAATTCATCTCCACAACATTTATTGGAATGATCAAAGATCAATCTTGAAGGAGCATGTTTCAGGCTCATATAAGCCCATCATCAGCCTATAGAAATCATCATAGTGGAAATGAAAAAAGTAGACATACAAATACTATAGTTAATGTTTCGGTCATGCAGTGACATTTGGGACAAATCCATGGCAAATCATCTGATTTGTCTTTTCTTATATATACTCATATAATATGTGTTATGTGTTTTGTGTTCAGATTACAAAATATAATCATTGTTTTCCTCAGATCTCAGAACCTGGTGATATTAACAAAATCTCCTTCCCGAAATGGCTTTTTCCAGAAGAATCCCTCTTCCCACCATGTACCAAAAATGCCCACGGAAACAGGAAATTTCTTTCCATATCACAGCAGAAAATCTGTTGGCATCAGTAAATGTACTGTTCGCCCAAACCCTAACTGATTTTAACACCCTGGTGACACCAGGGTGTGCTCCTGTAACTGCTGCATCTGTGAACAGATTTTCCTGAAATTTCGTGAAGTTATATGAGCAACCATTTCCGATTTGATCACATTGAAATACGATATGGTGGACGTTCGGTTTTTCCGGAATTGCCAGAAACTCTGATTTTTCGAATGAAACACCTTGTATGTTTTTACACATTCAAGTTTAACAGGTCGAAACAAGTGCAATCTCATGACGAGATTCCGAAATGTTGTATGCCACAGGTCACTTGAAAACTAATTCGAACTGCAAGGAAATTCATGAAACTAGTTGTTGTTTTTTGAATGTATACAATTTGTCACTGCACTAAGATACAGAAACGATACGTCATTATTTTTCTCAATGTATGTTCTAGAGAGACATGTAGGTGGCTCATAGAGGTTCCAATTGAAAAGAATTGTTTTGATCAAAATGTAATGACTGAAATGCCTCATCGATAAGTGAGAGAATTTTTTATTTTTTTTTTGAAAAAGTATAATTTTCTTGAATATTATATAATATATATAATATTATATAAATTAAATTACCGAGTCCAATTTGAATTTGATCGAGAAGACGTCATTTGACATATAGAATACACTACTTTTCACCCATTATACTCGAATGTATGGAAATATACAGTGTTCCCTTGGAAAAATAAAATTTGCTAGTATTTCCAGAAGAACCGGAAGTTTACCGAATTGAATTTCATGAGTAATTGTATCAGCCATTGTTACATGCCTGTGCTCATTGTCAAGAAAAATTTTATTTCTGACAGTGACATTATAAGCTTATATCGTCATAGTTACGATATCTATAATGAGGGTCATAACTCCCTCAGGATATTTAGGTTCAAAAACTTCCTCTTACCTTTTACAGGTGAAAATGATACAAGAAATGCTTATAAACGTTTATATGTGATGAAAACTAAGACATATTTTCCTTATTCACGTCATCAAAATAATGAATGTACAATTTTCAAATGTTCCCTGAAAATTACTTCCGCCGCTTAAAAAAAATAAACATGTAACATAGCGACAACCTAGCAACAACCAACAATGCTACAATCAACGCTACCTAATTCAAATATACCAGAAAGGTTATGAATTTAAACATTTATTGCGTTCTAAATATGGACATATTGTTATGAAAATCGGTCAGAAATGAAATTATCTATGTACCACGGGAATTATAGAGCCTTAATTACCTCTGGCAATCGCTGTCCCTCGGGCCAGAGGCCCTCGGGACGCAAACTTTGCCATCGGTAATTAAGGCCCTCATAATTCCCTCAATACATAAATAACTATTTTTTGTTCCTTTGACATTGTCTTCGACTAATGTCATCATTTTACATCATTATCAGAGTTCTCCAACCCCATTAGTTCAGATTTCAACACGTGCTGGCTGTTTGCTCCATCAATTTTATTGATATTTTCATTCAGTAGCGCTTCCATAAGGGCACGAAAAACCCTTCTTTCATAAAAACCCGTTAATTTATGGTATTGTCAAAAGAAACTTCACCCTTCATATACCATTTTGGTATATGAAATTTCTATGAGATGAATGATATGCGCTCTTAGGGCACGGTGCAACTCCAATTGGGTCAAGAACAAGTTATGTGAATCTTTCACATCAATCTTATTGTATTGTAGAATTTTCAAACGGGCTGAAGGTCTTTTAGAAAATCAAAACATGTCCCTTCTGATTGTGTAACAACTTCATTGAAATTTGTGTAGATAATTTCGAGCATTCCTTGCTTCCTTCCTTAAAAAAATTCGACTCCACTTTGAGCAATATGGACTTCTACCAAAGACAAGCCCAAAATGCTAGCTGTACCGAATTTCAGAAAAATCCGTTAACGAATGCAGAAGTTACAGGAGTGGCCCGATTCCCTGTGATACCCAGCTTATTCAAATCATGATATTCAATTCCAGAATCATCTTCGGTCAAAATAACCAGACAGGTAGAAACAGCCGAACAATCTGCTACATCGGAGAAAACCTCATCAAAAACATACATCTCAGAATCTCACTCGCAAGAATCTGAAGAAATAGCATCAGCTTCGGTACAGTCGAATATTGCACAGGAATCACTGAGACAAGCTTCTGATGCACAAACTAGACGGGAAGAAGTGTCCCAGAAGAAAGAGATGAACGGTAAAATAGAAGAAGTGAGAACAGAAAAAGAAGAAGGACTGTCCATCAATCTCAGAAGCGTCAGAGAAAAGTCTGCTGAAGACAAGTTGGAGGAAATGGAAGGCGATGGTTCACTCAAGTTTATCAAAACCATTCGTGGTACTAGCATCGAACGTGAGTATGATATTGACATTTTTCTATCGATAAGGGGTGAACAGTATTTATTGCCCACCACATCGCGCTACTGGAACGTGAGGTCACAATTGGTATGAATTACTTCTTTTTTTTTTCTATCATTTAGCCTCTTTCTATACGATATATCCTTCTCCGTCAATGTAAGAATTGGTCGTAGCCTTCCAATTCTGCTCAAGTCTTTCCATAACTTGAGCAAAATGATGTTGAAATTGCAGTTTCCTGTGCAGAAATTTGCACGAGATTCCGCGATTCGATGAGGAAATGAGAATTATGCCATCCGATACCAATTGAATGGTGGATTATTTTATCATACGAACCAGGTTCTTATTGTACCAATAAGTGAACTAGCTCATCTGTTTGTGACGTGTCCCATAATGTATTGTACTTACCTGTATTGTGACATTCAGTGGACAAAATGAAATTCTATTCTATTCTATTCTCACTCTCTTTTGGGACAAATAACATTTCGTTATCAGATGACGGTAAAAATCAGCAACCGGCTCTCCTACAAGTGCTATCCAGAAAAAATTTCGAATTTTTTACTTTGACAATGACATCACGTTCTGGTAGAGCCAACTAGTGAGACTGAAAATATTCGCACCACATCTATACTTGACGTATTAATTTCGTAGGTAGGAGTTTCAACTTTGGAATAAAATATTAGATTCAGAATTCCTGGAAAATGTATATGTGAAAGGGCTTCTGTGATTTTTTCATGTTATTTCTCCATTTTGTATCGTAGAATTAGGTACTCTTGATTTATTTTATGGAGAATATACATAGGAACGACACAATGGGCCTTTCCAGTAGTTTGCAAAATATCTTGAAATGATCTTTTGAGATTTTTTCCATCAATTTGTCGTTCAGAAAATTATTGAAAACGCCACAATCAACAAGCGAATACAAATGATCAGACATCGCCGCTAAACATGTGACGTCAGTGCGCGGGCAATTTGGATTGGCAATTTCCTCATCTTCACGCATATGCCGATGAAATGCACGATGGACTTGACGATGTTGCCTATTTGGACAGAAAGTTGTGATTAGTCGGATATTCATTCCTCGACTTGTTCATTTCAGCAAATAATGCAGATGCTTATAGATAACTCAACTACTAACTATTTACATGCAAAATTCGTCGTACTAAAGATTTACATCGCATAATCAGTTAGTTGGTTGATTTCTGTTGCAAGATTATTCGGAATTGTAAGTGAAATTTCATTTTCTTTCGAATTACAGTGCAGATATCCATTACATCCAGTTTTCAGTAAAGTACTTTCAAGTTTACATATCACATAGCTATACCTATCTACCATAGCAGAAGAAACATATTCTGTATCAATCGAGACTAAATTGCTCACTGGGTTCTATTTTTATTGAATCCAGTTCAATCATCGATGCGTTCTCGTCAATAATATTACGAAATAAGAACAATGAAGTTATGCGGGGAATGAGATATTTTCAACTTGGCAACATTGTGTAAGCACCGGTTGCTTCATATCATTTTCTTGTAGACATAGTTGCCATATTAGCAATAAAATTTTCCGGGAATAAGTCCTTGATATAAAGCGACACTGTTCAATTTGTTGATTTATAACAATGAGTCGACGAAATTTTTACATAACTAGAACCAAACTGAGTATGAATATAAACAGTGTCTTAATGTTAAATGCCTGCATCTCATTTCATCTTAGCTAATCTTGAAGCTAATGAATACATTGGAGTTCAGAGTAAATTGAAAGTGATCAGCAGTGAATCACCAAACAACTGATCACCTACTGGTCTACTACATGATAATTTCGAATCATTGCATCCCATGCAGCATCTTGCACCTAGGATCAATTCAAGGATTTTATAGGGATCTGGCAACAGCGCAGTGATTCCCAGCCGTCAGAAGGCCAACCAATCAAATTGCTAGAAGACACTGATATCACAGCTGAGTAGCGTTCCAATTCACAGGTATTGAAATAGAATTTTCAATATTGAATAATTTAATGGGCTTATATCACGAAAAAAAAATATTTCATAATTCGATAGAACTCACCCGAACTAGCTCACCACCGCAAACCGTTTCTTGCTGTTAGCTCCCTACGTTTTATGAAAATATATTGAAATCGCCGATTTTTTGGACCTCTGAAAACGAGGCGATGATGTGACGTCAAAACCCTAATACTGAAACGAGACTATTCCAGACAGAGATGAATGATAGATGATTTCTGACAGAGTGAATTAGGGCGAGATCACAGTTGGAAGAATTAATATATCAGTTGCCTCAGTCTCCTCGTGCTTTTGATATTTTCTTCAAACTATGGCGAGATGAGGTTTCTACGTCATCAGAGGGTCCGTTTTCAGAAGGTACTATTATTTATGTCCAAAAATAAAACATTCCAGTTAATTTTTCGATCGAATTATGTCGTCAATCATTATTTATGTATAAAAGGATCATTATAAACATGGTTTGAGTTAAAAGTTCCACTAAGGTGTACACGCCCATTGTCGTTCGATTTTCCCGATAGATATGTGGTCAGGATAACGTTTCTACCTTTCCTTCATAACATTATAGCGTAAATGATCCACGGTCAAATTCCACGATACTGAAAAGGCCCATTGTGTTGATAGGTGACAAAAACTATTATACCTAAGCCGATATTTACAGCCTGTCTCACTTTGAGTGGCCCTTCTATCTACATCGGCACGTGTATCACTTCAAACGGCTCCTCCTCTATCTCAGCATCATCTCATCTATTAGTTGTGCAAATCGTACAAAATGTTGAATGGTATATGCATAATCGTCAATATGATCAGTTTTTTCGTGAGAAGAAGTTTAGACTTTCAGAACATACGTTCATGAGAAGATTTCTTCTTGAAATGAGTCGAAAAATCACCCCCCCAAATATTAGCATGTATTCAACGAACACCCTGTATATGTACATCCTTGGTTGTACAGAATATTATTACCACAGGATCTTATACATCCCGGCTGGAGCTTGGGAAATAATCTTGTTCCCTAGATAATAATGATATTCTTCACTACCTTGGTGTATGAATAACTATCATTATTTAACTCACCGTTTCCGAGTAAATAATTATTAACATTCTCAAATATGCTATTCAGATGAGCCTGTATCATATAAATCATCCGAAACTTCACACATGAGGTTTGGAACCATGAAGAACAATATATTACGAGGTCCGTTTTTTTGTGAAAAAAACCTATTATGATTTCATAAATATTGACCCCATCTAAATTTGATAAATCACACGGCCATATCCAAATTTATGTTCGTCTCTGAAAAACTAGTCATATTGATGATTATTTATACCGGTCTAACTCTGATGAGAATCGCACGACTGAAAGCTAGCTGACATAAAGAAGGCCGTTTGAAGTGAGACACGGTGTTTACAAGGTGTCTCAGGTTTAACTCGTCCAACCTCGAACCTTATGCGTCATGAGAGAGTTGAATGTTCCGAAATGTTGAGAGGAAAACATTTAATATAAGTTAACGAGAGAGAAAATGCAAAGAAGAGATGCTGAAAGTGAAGCACAGTGTGAAAAATGCATTAGACTATTGAAATATAACATTCCAAGTAGATGAAATAGGGTATTCTGAATACCCTTGTATATGCTATAATCATCAATATCATCAACACACCACCATCTTCATACTACACTTCACGCCTTGATGATGCACGCCTTTTTATTAGTGCACAATTTTTTATACTCTATAACTTTCACTAGTCCAACTGCCATTTTGAACAGGAAGATCAACTTGCAGACAGGTAGATCGAATATGAAGCATTACACAACAATAACCTGAATCCTTTCCTTCAGGAATAGATATAGATTATTTCCAAAATTCACCAACAATCGCATATTGATTTATATTTGTGTATAGGAGACATTCTTGATAGTCAAATCAACTGGATATATTCATCACCCTAACCACCAGCAACTATGAATCTGAATTTTCGAAAGAAACAACTCTATATCAAAAAATCATTGTCTCTGGTGCTGCACCAGTACGCGGAAAATGAAGTCGGATAAATTTCATCTGAAGATGACTATTTCACTCATCTCAAAATTCCCTGATCAATCATAAGCGGAAGACCACTTGTAGTATCGTTAAAACAGTAGCTGTCTTCCAGTTCTGATTGGTTCATCAGCGTTGGTGTTTACTACGAAGTAACCATGAATAGCAGAGTGAAGTCTGTATGTTTCACATGAAATAATTATAGTTATAGATGTCAAAATGCATTGCTTTAGTTATATGGCATGTTCATTGATGATGAATGCTTGTTATATGCTTCGGTAAATAGTCTTGGTAAATGCCACTTTGTGCTGAATATCTTCCCATAATTCTATATTTCATTGTTAACTCAATTGTGTGTATAGCAATAACACTTGTCCCGACGGACTCGTGGTGTTGCTTGTAGATATAATTTCGTGAACAACAATGCGACAGAATTATCTCGAATATTCAGAACATCGTGTCTCTTTGTTGACTTTTCCAGTTTCAGTCTGGGGTTTATACCAAGAGTATTCAGAAAATGCGATCCATAAAGAAACAATTAGGTGATACGGTTGAATTCCAATGAAAATAAGCTGCTAGTGGCTTTCAGACTCGCTGTTCTGAGTTATTCTAGTAGGTATGATATGTAACACACGAAATTCACTTTCTGAATTATCATGATATTCATTATAATCTGCGATGATTATACCTTCTACATAAGCAGTCACCTAGAAACAGAAATCAAAGATCATATCATAAGGATGTTTGTGATTATGAGGAACAAAATGTCATAACTATACGGAGAAGCGCATTTTTAAATCTCATACTGCAAGCTAAAACAGTCTGACCCTCATTTTCTGAATCAAAGATCTCACAATAATATCCTGTTCAAAATGGCTCGAAACATTCTGAATCCTAACGCCCCTCAGCCGGAGAAACAGCTCACTTCGAGGTATCGCTGAGCGCTCA